GGAAATTTACGATCAAGATAACGATGATGATGATCAGGCATAAGAGAGGAGGGGAAAGCGGAGAAGAGGAGGATGGAGGCAGGAATAGGCCGGAGCAAGGAGTAGCGSGAGGAGGAGCAGCGGGAGTGGCCAGGACGATGAGGAGGAGACGGAGGCGAAGAGAAGAGCGGGAATGGCAAGAGGAGCGGGAGAGGGAGGAAGTGGACGATGAGGAGGACGAGGTGAGGAAGCGGATGAAGCGGAGGAAGTGGAGGATGAGGAGGAGGATGATGGAGGGAAGAGAAGATAGCAGCAAGCAGCAGAGGAGGAGCGGGACGAGGAGGAGAGGGAGTGGTTGTGGCAATGTCGGTCTGTGTGTGTGTGTGTGTGTGTAGGATGAGCAAAATCGGAATGAACGCGCGCGCGCGCGCGCGCGAGAGAGAGAGAGAGAGAGAGAGAGAGAGAGAGAGAGAGAGAACAGTCTTCCAACCTGGCGGCTGGCCTCATGGTACTACCATCGATAGGATAAGCAACATGGAATGAATCTACCGCTAGAACATGGAAATATACACTGCCAGAGTCGAACCTCTCACCATGAAACAAAACAAAAAAAAAAAGAAAGACGGCCGCGAACCGCTAGAACATGGAAATATACACTGCCAGAGTCGAACCTCTCACCACGAAACAAAACAAAAAAAAAGCCGGCCGCGAACAAAAAACCTTAAAATCGAATGAATCTTCCGCTAGAACATGGGAATGTACACTGCCAGACTCGTCTCTATCGTCGCCCGCCACGAAAAGGCAAAAAACGAATCCTAAAAACGGCCGGACTCGAACCTCTCAACACAAAACTGAAAAAAAAAAGGACAGCCGCGATAAAAAACCGCGCCGGGCCCATGTGCGCCGGGCCCGCGCGGGAAAAAGGTCTCAGCGGGACGCGTTACGCGAGACCCGCTACTCCCTTTAAGAAGAGTATAGATAGCGGTCATCGCGTAATGCCGCCGCGAGAGGCCGCTCACCAGTGTTGGGAAACGCGGTGGGACTGGCGGGCGGGCCCAAGAGATACCCGGTGTGTTTTTCAGGCCGCGAGTGAGCTTGCGCTGGACGGCCCAACAGTTTTCGGGATCCGTGCCAGGCGATTCCCGAAGCTTCTATCGGGCCGTCCAAAGTAAGTTCGGTCGGCGATCGTGACGGTTGTACGTGCCCGATGTTTTTATCACTTTGTTGTTTTGACGCGACTCGGTTCGATGTCACTCGGTTCAATGCTATGTGCTGTTTCCCGCTCAGTTCGATGCGACCCGGTTCGATGATACATGTTGCTGTTTCGATTGGATTCCGTTGCAAGAGAGAGAGAGGTTTCGATTGGACTCCGTTGCAAGAGAGAGAGGGGTTTCGGTTCGAAGAGAGAGAGAGAGAGAGAGAGAGAGAGAGAGAGAGAGAGAGAGAGAGAGAGAGAGA